CTTGGTTATCGGGATAGTGTCCCTTACTCTTTTTACTGAAATGAGAGTGGTGAGGATGGAAATCCTTCCTCTTGCCTTGAAATTGATATGTCTGTTGATTCGGCGAAGCATTATGCAAGGCATGGGGAGGTGCCACTGCTGTTTGGAAAGTCGAGGTCTTCTCATTTAGGTGAGTCTGGCTTCCACCTCCCACTTGTTGATAAAGGATGGTTGTAGGGGGTTTCTCCTGATATGTCTTTGCCTCGGCGGAGGCATGGTTATAAGCCTGCGCCATCACCTCAGAGTAAGTCTTCCAAGTATTGGCATTGATCATGTATTTAAAGAAACAATCACGTAGGCCTGCCGTGAAGGCTTTGAGGGCAGTCTTGTCGTCTGCCTCGGCACACCGGGAGTATTCATGGCTGAAGCGGCCAGCATACATACGTAATGACTCGTCTGGCTTCTGGCGGATAGTGTACAGGTCATCTGCAGAGTGCAAGCGATCGGTTTGGAAAATGTGTTGGGAAACAAATAGTTTCCTCAATTCCTCAAATGAGTCTACCGTCTCAGGTGTAAGACGACAATACCAATTTAGAGCTCCGCCAAAGAGGGTGGAGGGGAAGAGAAGACATCGCTCTTCGTCGGTGTGCATCCGGTATGCCATGGTGGACTCAAAGAGGTTAAGGTGCTCAATCGGGTCCTCTTTCCAGTATAAAAGTTGCAAGCCAAGCTTTTGCTTTGTCTTTGCTTGAAGGGGGGTGTTGAGGATCCTCCTTGTAAGAGGGCCAGGCCTGGGTTGGTTCCAGTCAGGTATTTCAGCCTGACGTTCAGCCTTCAACTTGTTTACTTCCTCAATAAGTTGTAGGACAAGGGGGTCCTGAGCGGAGTTATGTGCCACTGGAGCTTTCTTTCGTAAATCTCCATCTCCTCTTGGAATTAGGAAGGTTTGATCAAGGGCATGTGATTTTTCCCTGGACTCGTTGTACTGGCTTCCAGGGTATGTCTGTCGGAACACCTCTGAGTCCCCTGTACCCTCATGTCTCTCTAGGACTTGTTGCCCCTTCCCCAAATTGGTGGCCGGCTCGGGCCGTGGCAGGGGACCGAGTCTCTCAGAAATCCTTGGGTCATTGATCTTTGAGCTTATATGGATGGAATTCTCTCGACGTTGCTTCAGGAAATCCCGACAATCGCGAAAGACGGCTTTCGATCCTTCTGCCCCTTCAGCAAAGAGGTGTCTCCCTCCACTTCTCATGGTTCGGGTCGAAGCAACTGGGTTAAGAGAAGCCTCATGTTGATTATCAAGTCGAGGGGTAATCTGTTCCCTATCAGGGATATCTATGTCGAATGCATGTGACCCTCCATGTTGGAGGGCACCCAGTTGATGGTTGACTTCCACGGGGGCAACAAGCTCGCGTGTCTGAGCTTGCCTAGCTTCGTGGAGTGTCTCGAAGAGCTTCTCATATTGCTCCTGGAGGACCTCATTCCTCATTGCTATCTTGTTGTTCTGAGCTTCCAACTCATCGACTTTAGCTTGAAGAAGAACTCGTTTTCCTTCCTTCTTTCGTTGTTTCGCACTATGTGCAAGGGGGTGTCATTCTGTGTGCTGTGGCTTCCTTCGCTTCCCATGTTGGAGAGGGATGCCTGGTCAAAAGAAAGTGTACGAATGATAGAAACCAGCTTGACACAGCTGAAGAGAGTAGGAATAAGTGTCGTTTCCCACAGACGGCGCCAAATGTTGATGCACAAAATCAGCGAAGACTTTGGTACAACAGAAAGTGTCAGGTTTTGTGACCTTCGCTTGGTTGCTTCGGTCACTAGTGAGGATAAGTACGGGCATGAATAGAGACAGAGAAGCAAACACAGGATGTACGTGGTTCACCCAGATTGGCTACGTCCACGGAGTAGAGGAGTTCTTATTAGTAGTGAAGGGCTTACACAAGTACAAAGGATCAAGCTCTCAATTTAGTGAGTTCTTGTGAATGATTTAACACAAATGGCATTCGGCAATATTGTGGGGGAATGACCCCTATTTATAGAAAAACTTGTAGCTTTGTCACATTGACATGTGTCATGTTGTGATTGGTTCTTGATGTCGACACGTGCTGCGCTCTGATTGGCTTCTAATCTTGACACGTGTCGAGTAGTGATTGGCCTCCTGGTCGGAGGGGAACTCTTCTGGGTCCTTGACAGTATAGCGTTGGCCGATGCTCGGTAGTTTCGGGATTGGTCAAGTATGGTACAAACATGTTGATTAACATGAGTGATGCTCATGGATGTTTGACATGAGTGATGCTCATGAATGTTGACATGAGTGATGCTCATGAATGTTTATGTATGATTGATATGAGTAATGCTCATGTATGTTTATGTATGATTGACATGAGTAGTGATCATGTATAATTTTGAAGTACTGGGCGTACTTTTGATCACCTGGTTGGTGGCATAAAGGAGAGTACGGGTTGTACATTTCATCACCTGGTTGGTGGCATGAATGGCTAGTTGCCAAATGATATTAGAGTACGGGTTGTACATTTCATCACCTGGTTGGTGGTAATAGCGGCGGGTTGCCGAATAATTTTGGAATATTGGGCGTACTTTTGATCACCTGGATGGTGCTATTTTGGGCCTATGAGCCTTCGCCCTCCACACAACATTCCAACCCATTTATTTTGGGCTTTGCCTATTTATTTATTTATTTATTAATTAACCTCTGATGGGGTTTATACAGATGTCTCCAAAAGATAAATAAAAATAAATTACATCATACAAAAAATAAATAAAGCAGTCGTTGGTGCGTTGCTTTTGCTTTTTTATTTTGTTTTCTGCTTTGCTTTTGCTTTCATTTTCTGCTCTTTGTTTGGTTGCTGCTGGGACCTTGTAGTGGGATGGCATGTGAGGAAAGCCTCCCTTTTCTTTTCCTAGCGCTCCGTGGTTCACGAGTCCATAACTTGTTATCCACTTGCACTCTTGATTCAACAGCTGTTTGCGCCAGATGCTAATTGCTCCCTAAAGATGGAGAACAAATTGCTTTCAGTCCTTTCAACATAACTTTGGCTGCTGGAAGGTTGCAAAAGAAAAAGGGGGAAGAGATGCACATGTTATCTGGTATGCGTGGGTAGCTCCAAAATGAGTTAAGTCGGTATAGGTTTATTCCTGACCGTGAGTGCAAAGAACCATGTCAGAGATGAGAAGGACAGCGAGCTTGGAGTCAGGGGAGCCGGTGACATGGGAGTCAAGCACAAGTTCTGTAGCCTGCCCTTGTTGAATTCAAGCACAAGGGTAAATGTGGTGACAATGTAGGTACCATTAGTTGAGGCACTTAACTAGGGTAGCTTCTCGCCGGGAATCTCGACTTCTAGGTGTTTCACGATGGCGATGTCGACGGAGCTCGTCTTCTTGCTCTTCTTCGGCAATAGCACCACCTGAAAACTTTCCCCTTTTGTGGTTGTCATTGATGTTTACATCTCCTCCGCCATCTCTAGGGCAAGCATCAAGCGGACACCCGCATAACGAATTACCCAAAAACGAGTTGGAAGAGTAAGACTGCGACTGCTTCGGAACAGACCCGTTTAGTAAATTGATGGATACATTAAACTGGTTGAGATTATGAATGCTTCAGCTCGGGAATCACTCAAAAAAGCTTGTTGTTTTCAAGATACAAAGTCCTCAGGCGGGTGAGATTGTTGAAACTCAGTGAGATCTCGCTAGAAAAATTGTTGGACGCCAAGTTTAGTCGGACCCAGTTGTGTAGACTATACAAAAACTCCAGGATTTCGCCGGAGAAAAGGTTCCCCTGCAAGTAAAGGTTACGAAGAGTAACGCAAGCGGAGAGATCTGACGGCAGAGGACCTCAGAGCGTTGAGACGGAGACTGAGAGTGCGAAGACTGGTCAGATTTCAAAAAATGCCACTGGGGATTACGCCGGATAAAGCCACATCGGGAAGACGAATCACCGTGACACGGTTGTTCTCACAGTTGACGCCAGTCCACGAACATAGGCTGGTCTAGTTCACATTCCAAAGCAGAGTTCGACTGCCGACGATGGAGCGCAGGGCCAGTAGAGCGGCGCGGTCAGAAGCCAGATCTGGTTTTGCAATGGGGAGCAAAAGCAACAGGGAGAAGAGGAAAAGATAAAGCCTTTGGGTTTGGGAATGCATTTTTGTGGAACCCCAGATGGCGTTTTTGGTGAATTGGGTGGGGGTGTGGATTTCTGGGGTTTTCAAATATCATACATTGTTTTGGTTTTTTGGGTTTCAGAGATTTTGCAGATTCACGGCTGAGGTGAAAAAATGAAAGAGAACTGACACAACTTTTCGTATCGTTTCCCACGGACGGTGCCAAATGTTGATGTACAAAACCGGAAGTCTTGGAACAACGTAAATCTGACCGTGAATCTGCAATAAATGTAAATAACACAAGATGTATCGTGGTTCACCCCAAGGTTTGGGCTACGTCCACACTGATTATGTATTTATTTGAGGGAGAGAGAGCTCTGAGAGTGAGAGCTTTGAGAGGGGGTGAAACGGCCTAGGAATTGGCCTCTGAAATGACCTCTCCTAATTGTGAGGGTGAGGGGTCCTTTTATAGAATAAGAACTCCTCACTTATTACATATTTGCCAATTCCTTTATCACATAATTACATTTAAGTCCCTCGAGTATTTATACGAGATCTAAATACGAGACCTTAAATATGGTATAAACAGCAGCTATGGTTATAGACTTTCATTGGTCCTTTTGCATGTGATATTAGAATTTTACAAAAACTGATGATCATGAGGAGAATGAAAAGAAGAAGAATGTGAGATCGGAAAGAATGAACCGTTGACTTCCAGCATCTGCATGGCACTTTAATTAGGCCAAAGCCATAATACAAAAGAAATATATATATATATATATATATATATATATATATATATATATATATAATTCCCATTCTTTTTTAGAAGATATAAACATGCACTGACCACATTTTTTTCTAGATTAAAATTATTACATTGACCATAAGAAAATATGAAACATATATATATATATATATATAATTAAAACTATCATATATGCACTTGGTTAATTATCTATACAAACATCCTCTATATGTTGGTGTCCAATACTCTGATCCTGTATTTTCACGATAAACTTGAGGGGTACATGAAACAGGTACCAAACATAGGCCTTTGCTCTTGAGATCAACCATTGTGTCCCCCTTGTAATCTTTTCTATCCATCGCACATGGATCCTAAATAAAATAACATTAATTATTTAGCATAAGAATGTGTGTGTGTGTCTATATATATATATAAGCATGTATATACCTTTGGTGAATTTGTCTTCAAATTAGGGCTATTCAGTAGCTGCATAAAAATTATGGAAATGTAGATTAATTCTATGCTGGTATTATTAACTTCTTATTAGTTAGAAAATAAAATCGTTTATAATGGACAGAGTTAGTATATATACCACGTGCACTTGGTCTTGCATGAACTTAATGTACTGAATCGCTTCATATAATACTGATGCTGTATCGGTCTGAAATGTAACCAAATTATGATAATTTAAAATATGCCAAATACGATGATCAGTTAAAGGAATGAAACATCTAAATTAATCCAGTTGAAATGAATTAATTAGCAGGTTTTCTTGTGTGGCTGCTTTCCGCTCACCTTTCCAAACGGAGACACGATTGGTTGAAGGGCCGTGATTCTGTCCGTAAGCTTGACTTTTGGTGCCTGAATCTGTTGATCCGAGACATTAATTAATAATTTCATAAGAAAAGGTTATTTTATCAATTAACGATCAAGCATGATTTCTTTTGTCTTTTTCCTTTTTTATTTTGTATGTTAGAGCACCTTTGCAGATGATCCTGTAGAAGTTTCTTGCTTAGGCTTTTTCACGACTGTTTCTGATGATGTGTCGTCCGTTCTTTTCTTCTTTCCTTCATTTGCAATTCCCTGTCCTCTTCCACTACTCATTCTTGCCTGCGTGTATTATATATACACATGTAATTAGAACCTGTCCTCTTTCACTACTCATTCAATTATATATACATATATAATATACGATGAGCTTCAGTTAAGATATCGCTCAAGAAAAAATTAAATTAACTAAATATTGAGCTTACCGACGAAGAAGTTTGCAGGGTTTGCTTCTTAGAATGATCAGAAGAGTTGAAAGATTTGAAACAAGACTTAGGAGCATGAAGGTCAATCAAGGGTTTATTTCCTAATTGACTCGTAAAAGATCCAACATCTGCTAAATTTCTGGCAGCAGTAGTACTAGTGGATGAAGAATAATAAGAATCCGACACTAGTGATCCATTTCCATTGAAGTACTTGCTAGTATGATTATATGCAGCCGTTGCGTTGTTGAGGCCAATCTGATGTTCAATGCCATTATGGTGTCCATGATTCTGATCATCTACCTTCATAATTTGACTGCTGTAACAGGAAAATAAACTGGATCCGGAGTTTATATTTGTAATTCCCATCTGAGGATTGCATGACGATGTGGAATCATTAAAAAACGGTTGTGGCTTTAAATGACAGAGATTTGGTTGTGAGTACTGACGATCATGATGAAAGATAGTAGAACAAAGTTTGTTTTCTTGATCCATTATTTGATGAGGAGGCATATTGTTGAGTACTAGTTGTGGTTCTGGGGATGCAATGGACCAGGTGCTGACTTGATTAGACATCTTGGTTATCCTTTCTTTCTCAATACTAATATTCATGTTGTTGTCCATGAATCCTCCATTTATATGCTTTTCAAAATTGTTGAAATTGGAGGCAGCTGAGTTTATGAACTCCCAAGTACTATTGTTGTCCAACTTCTTCAAGTCGTCACAAGCAGGCTCATTGTACATAACATGATGAGTTGACAAGCTCTTGGATGACAGTGCATCTAGGAAGTTCTCTCCAACACCATGATCATCGTTGCTTAAATCATGGTTTGCATTAGCGTTTCTGCATATTCATGGTTCATTCAAAACTTAAATTAATTACCATATATATGCCTAAATGTATAAAGATGCACATATATATAGACACGGCTCAAGTGTTACTGGGATTAGCCCAGTTGTGAGGGTAGGTAAGGTGATAGGTAGGATAGACTAGGCTCAAGGGTCGAAACCCTGCTATATATGTAAGAAGAAGAAAAAATGGATGGTTCAAGTTTTATCATAGATTATATAACTCTTCTAATTACTAGCTAATTAGTAATAAAATATGTTTGGGAAAAATTAGAGTTACTTACAATAGAACATGGTTCCAAATATGATTCTCAGAAACCTGTTCGCCATTAATTAGGTCGTCGTTGGAAGAAGCAGAACGCTGATCAGCAAGCATTCTGCGAGAGGAGTCGACGCTGAGGCTTGAGTGGTTGGAGGCATTGGTAAATGAAGTACTGGAGTTTGAAACATCCTGATCAAGATCATCACAATTATTATTAGAGTTGGAGTACTTCTGGTTTAGCTGCTGCTGCCATGGGTTGGTAGAGCTGACAAGATCCCACCAATTTTGCTGCGTTAGCCGCGCAGAGGAAGAAGAGATTGCAACACTGCATTCTTCGGCCATTTTTCTTAACTTTGTTCGGTCTCTCTCTCTCTCCCCCTCTTTCTCTCTGTAATGGATTGTTGTGGTGGAGGGTTTGGAAGGGATTGGGATATATATGAATATCCGTTGGGTGGTGATGACGTACGGGGTTTGTAGGTTTTATCGTTCAATGATAGGGGCAGACAATAAAATATGGCCTCAGTTTTTCCACTAAAGTTCGTGGGCAATTATTAATTTATATACGGACATATGTAACCTGGCCCAGCCAATACCAAGTGTTTGGTATTTAGGGTTAGGGTTTCCAGATGCCCAAGACCAAGAGTTTGGTTTTAGGGTTAGGGTTTCCTAATGCCTCTCGATATGTTCTTTATTCTTCGCTAAGAAAAACTTCCTTCATGGATAAGCCGGATTGTTTAGCGAATTCTAGTCTTGTTTTTGAGATTTATGCAATTTTTATTTAATAATCCTCATTCTTGTTTAATGAGTTTTGTTTGTTAAGATCAATTTGGAATGTCCCAATTTAGATTTATAAATGAATAATTTTGTTTGAACTTTTGGTCCCTTTTTTTAAATTTTAAAAAAAAAAAATCCTCTTTCATATGGACAAGGTGCATGACAAGACACTATTGATCCGTAAGCAAAACGGAATACGTTCAATACTTTTCTCAAATACAATTGATCAACTTATACATATATGGTCCCAACTGCAAATTAGTTTACATTAAAAAATAAATAAAAAATCACAATAGTCACCAACATTAGTTCTACACAAGACATATCCAGACATATTGTACCAGCACAATAATTGGATTAATCACGGAAGTTCCTAATTTCCACTATACAATTTAAGGTTAGAACTCAATTTTTAGGTCATTGGAACTTATATATTTTATTTCTCTATATATCACAAGAAGCTATGTGTTTTCCTATTAGAGGTCAACACAATGTGTGTGTGTGAGACGACCATGGTCCCCTAAGATTGAATAATGGACCTAATTGGACCTTGATGATAAAATGGTCAGAAATTAAAATTTTTGCTTAATAATTAATTAATGTGTGGCATCTTTTACTTTATCGTATAATTAACAAATCCATTCCTTTTAAACGAAATATATGGTTGCTTGGCCTTTGCATATAGGTCAGTGAACATGGTCTAGTTGGTGGGTGTTCTTATTGAGTGGCAATCTGCATCACTCTACATCAAGTTCCACTTTGAGAATTTTTTTCCCATCCTTATAATTTCGTTCTTCTACCACCATTAAGGGCCATTGGCTGCGGAAGGAAGGAAGCATTTTTAAATTTCTTCATTAGACATTGTCACACGAATTAATACATGGCCATATATTTGATCCGTACGTATTTACTTTTATAGTATAAATTATACTGTTCTTGTTAGCTATTAGGAGAAATATTCTCATTAAAATCAAGAAATAACTTTTACACTTTGAGTATTTATATACAACTATCACAACTATCACAGTTGGCATTACAACTAACAGAAAGTGTAACTAAGCTAACAAACTAAACATTCCTTAGCCTCTAAGTATTATCCCTTGAAGGTGTAATTACATTTTTATCCTTAATATCCCCCCGCAAACGAGACTGGGGTAATCTCAGTTGGAGTTTGTCACGAAGAAGGATGAACCGAGGTTGGGACAGAGATTTGGTGCAGATATCAGCCACCTGATCCTGTGTACTGATAAACTGCACAGAAACTTGATTGGCGAGAACCTTTTCACGAATATAATGATAATCAAGCTCGACATGCTTTGTTCGAGCATGAAAAACAGGATTTTTCGCTAAAGAAATGGCAGAGAGATTGTCACACCAGATCGTGGGAGAATGAGGCAGAGAATAAGAGATGTCAGCAAGCAGTTTACATATCCATGTGATTTCCGCAGCCGTATTTGCAAGAGAGCGATATTCTGCTTCTGTGGAGGAACGAGCAACAGTAGGTTGCTTCTTGGCACTCCAACTAATGAGAGATTTGCCAAAATAGACACAGTATCCGCCTGTGGATCTTCTGTCCAAGGAACAGCCCGCCCAATCGGCATCGGAAAAGGCTTGAATAGACGGAACTTGAGAGGACTTGGGGAACCATAATCCAAGATCAAGAGAACCTTTAAGATAGCGAAGAATACGTTTTACTGCTTGCAGATGGGAAAATCGGGGACTATGCATAAACTGACATACCAAATTCACAGCAAAACTAAGGTCAGGCCGAGTCCAAGTCAAGTACTGAAGAGCTCCAACAAGAGATCGATATTCAGAGGCATTATCGAGCAGAGGAGACAAGTGATCCAGCTTGGTTGTACTGAGAGGAGTGCTGCAGGGCTTGGCACCATCCATTTTTGCTTTGGCCAAAAGATCCAAAATATACTTGGTTTGAGAGATGAAAAGACCAGAAGATGATCGTTTAACTTCAATACCAAGAAAGTAATGAAGAGCACCAAGATCTTTGATGGGAAACAGAGCACTGAGTTGAGTGATGACCTGTTGACAGGCTGCAGGAGAGGGGCCGGTGACTAAGATGTCATCGACATAGACAAGTATGAACACTGGAGTAGAATAACTCTTTATAAACAGAGAATGATCACTTTTGGACCCATGAAAACCAAGAGAGTGCAGAGCATTATGAAGCTTGTCATACCAAGCTCGAGGAGCCTGTTTCAAACCATAAAGAGATCGGTGAAGATGACAAACATGATGCGGGTAGGTTGGATCTTCAAAGCCAGGGGGCTGTTGCATAAACACTGATTCAGTAAGGGTGCCATGGAGAAAAGCATTACTGACATCTAATTGATTGAGGAACCAATCAAACTGAGCAGCAAGGGTGAGCAGGAGACGAATAGTCACTGGTTTTGCCACGGGACTAAACGTTTCAGTGTAGTCAAGCCCCTCTTGTTGGTGAAAACCCTTAGCCACCAAACGGGCTTTGTACCTGTCAATAGAACCATCGGGTTTTCGTTTGATCCGAAACACCCACTTACAGCCCACAAGGTTATGAGAGGAAGAAGAGGGTACAAGTGACCATGTACCAGTGGAGGCAAGGGCATTGAACTCTTCTTGCATTGCCTTGCGCCAATGAGAGTGTTTAGAAGCTTGTAGGTAGGTTGAAGGAACATAGTCAACTACAAGATGGGAAGGAATAGGGTGTTTGGTTGCAGCTAGGGCTTTGGGTTTGAATATGCCAGATTTTGAACGAGTTTGCATTTGGTGGGTGTTGATAGGTACTGTAGGTTGGGAGCAGGGATTTGGGGAAGCTGCAGATGGTTGGAGCAGATTTGAAGATGCTGCAAAGGTGGGAATCGGGGTTGTAGAAGGGGCAGAGGGTGTAGGTGGGGTGGAGACAGAGTGAAATGTGAGCGATGAGGGAATAGAGGGGGAGTATAATGGAGAGGAGGAGACAGGTTGAGATGGAGACGATTGTAAGGTATGAAACGGAAAAGTAGACTCATCAAAGAGGACATGTCTTGAAATATACAACCGGTTAGTAGATGGATTTAGACATAGATGGCCCTTGTGATTTAAGCTATAACCCAAGAAGACACAGGGTGTGCTTTTAGGATCAAGTTTGGAGGATGTGTACGGTTTCAACCAAGGGAAACAGCAACAACCAAAAACCTTGAGAGATGTATAGTCAGGAGCTTTCTGGAAAAGAGACTGCCAAGGAGAGTAACGAGATATTGTGGGTAGCCGGTTGATGAGATAAACAGAGGTTGCAAAAGCCTCAACCCAATAAGCATGAGGTACTTTAGATGCTGCCAGGAGAGTTCGAGAGGTCTCAACAATATGCCGATGCTTACGTTCGGCACACCCATTTTGCTCGGGGGTATGAGGACAAGTGAGCTGATGATGAATGCCATGACGGGCTAAGAACTGAGAGAATGCAGTAGTAACATATTCACCACCAGAATCTGAACGTAAAGAAATAACTTTTGTACAAAGAGAATTCTCAACAAGTAATTTCCATTGCATAAAGGTGGAGAGAACATCAGATTTACACCGTAAAGGATAGAACCAACAATATCTGGTATAGTCATCTATGAAAATGACATAATATCGAAAACCATGATGAGACAGGATGGGTGAGGGTCCCCAAACATCCGTATGGATAAGCTCTAAAGGTTTGCGGGTTGTACAAGTAGTACTAGAAAATGGAAGTTTAGAACATTTTCCTAGTACACAATCGGAGCAAAAAGCTTTATTTGAAGCAGCAAGAACAGAAATACAGGATTGAGAAACCAACTTATGCAAGATCTTTACAGAAGGATGGCCCAGTCTTTGATGCCAAAGATGCTGGGGAGCTTTGACAGAGGCAGCTAAAGCTTGACTCGAGGTAGCAGGAGAGAAGGATGAGTGAAAAGGATAGAAGCCATGTTGAACCGGTCCTTTAAAAAGCATTCTCCCCGAAGAAAGATCCTTCACAGTGAAGTGAAAAGGATAAAGATGCATAGAGCAAGAATTGTCAAGAAGAAATTGATTAGCAGAGAGAAGATTGTGCTTTAAAGCAAGAACATGTAAGACATTCTTTAAAGCAAAAGAATTAGTGGAAGTATGTAAAGAGGATGAGCCAGAATGGAGAATAGGCAAACCTTTGCCATCTCCAATATACACTTGCTCAGGACCAGTGTAGGCTTCTGGATTCTGAAGGTTGGCATATGAGTTTGTCATATGGGAACTAGCACCAGAGTCAACAATCCAGGTAGGAGTAGAAGGAGAGGTACCAGCAACCATTGCAGAATGAGAAGATTTGCCATTGTAGTTTTGATCCATGCGATGAGGACAATCACAAGCCTCATGATCTGGTTGTCGACAAATCTGACAGAAAAGCTTTCGAGGGAAAGATGAGTTATTACGAGCTCCACGATTGAATCGCTGATTATTACGAGAGTAGGTATTCCTGCCATTGTTGAATCTGGAATTTCCACGATTCTGAAAAGTGCCCCGATTTGGGCCCGAATAATTACGATCCACATTGCGACCTTGATTGGAGAACGAAGAAAGCTGCTGGGCAGTAAATGCTTGAGGAATAGAGGGAGCAGGCAAGGGAAGAATACCAGCTGAGGAATTATATGCCTGGAATGGTGCAGTGGAGACAGATTTCTTCCGATTGTTGAGTTGAATCTCCTTAC